CCCTACCTCCCCCCCCCCCTCCTCTCCACCAACACACCCTTATTTGCCCCAGTTGTTACAGTTTTCAGACGTCTTTTTAGGGTTGAGCAAGGCGTAGAAGAGCGGAGTAAAGAAGCAAAGGTGAGGAAGGTCTGATTGCGGGATTTCATAATTAATGTAACTTGGTCGGGTGTCTTCCAGTTAGTTCTTCTCACCATTGTCATCATAAAAGAAAGTGGGGAATTCTAGCTCTCTCCTTATTGTTAAGCCAAGCATGTTACAACTCACTTTTTAAAATAAACGAGTTGTTTCAAATTCAGCACAGTCAATATGTATGCACACATAGTTGTCATCAATGATGCTTCTTTATGTGCATTTCCCATGGCCACATTGGTTTATACTGGCTGATTACTGATATCGACAAGGCTCCTTGAGCTTTTCACTCATTCCTTAATGAGTGTTAGAAAACAGTGAGTTAAAACAACAACAATCAGTTTTGCCAAACGACTGCTAGTATTTTAGAAAAAAATTAGATGACATCTCCGTGAATTTGGAATTTGTCACCATTTGTGACCCTCAAATTAAAGACTCGAATCCCCAAAAATTATGGAATCAAATTTTAAAGTCCAATTTCAAAATTGTTTTCTCTGTGTGGCGTCGAAGAGAATGACAGATAGAATATGCGGGCACGCAGTAGTTGAACAGTCCGACTGTCAGACTGTCGTGGAAGACCTCACATTAATTTAACTAGATGTGAAGTAAAAATTCCCTCTTTAATTCTTTAATTACTTCAAGCTTGTTAGCGCAAAATTCTGACAATTTTTAACATCTCGTTGATGTGATAACCTAGATGCCCTCTAAATTAAGCCAACACACAAATGTACACAAATTGTGAATCAAGAAGCTCAAAAGAGACCTATTTTAGCATAAAAACCGAAAATCCTTATCAAAGCATCATTGCTTTGATGTCGAGAGATTAAAAAACTCGTCGGTGACATCAAATATTGCTGTAGCAGTGTAAGCATGGTAGCCAGTCTCTAGTTCAGGCTTTGGTCTGATAAGAACGCCTCTTCAACATTGGAAACTTATTTTTGACAGACTGCATATACGCCCTTAAGATTTTCATAATTCTCATTCAAGGAGTTTGCACTTACCATTGGAAGTGGATGTGTTGACATAGAGGAATGAAGACGAGCTGTTCCATCATCAGTAATTGAGGTTGGTATCCGATAGGGTCTTGCATCTCCTCCATAATTCAACATCGATGCTGTATTAGTTACTCTTCGACTTCCTATAGAACGATTGCGTCTTATTGGTCCCGGTTCAGATAAACCAGAAGAGCATGAGGTGGGTATCGGTGATGATTCAGAACATAGATTGTGGGGAAAAGGAAATTGTGAATTCCCTGGTAAAAATGGAGGTTGATGGAAGAGTGGAAATAGGTGATTGGGTGTTGGAAGCGTCTTGTTAAAAATATTAGACCTCTCCACCGTATTAGGTGGTGAAGCTAGTGATAAAGGAAGTAGGTTCTTAAGACTCTCCATGAATTTTTGGTTATCATTGAATGGCAATCCAAGAATGGATTTTTGGAACGGGGAATCGTCCAATGTGAGTGGATTTATGCCATTTGAGGATGCTACTTTCTGTGGAGGCAATCGGGTGTCGGTAACCTTTGTCCTCTTCTTCCTCGGGGAAAGCATTGAGTTCTCAAATCCTTGAGTAGAATCGAGGAGCGATGGGTGACTACTGTTGTCTTTATCCACAACTAAAGAAAGCGCCTCAGTTTGATTAGTCGTCATCGCCTCAACCGGAATACTAATGTTTGGTGGCAAAAGCTATGTAGAGAATATAGTATGGTTACGAAAAAAATGCTTTGAAACGAGTTAGCTCATTTCCTCACAACTTACTGATAGGGGGGTCTGTTTAATTTTTTCATTTACATTATTTAAAGGCGGGTAATAATTCGGAAATGGCTTCAGGAGCAAAGACTCTAAAGATTCTGCTAAACTTCGAGGGTTGGTGAAAAATCCAAACATATCCCTTTGAGCGGGGGGCAAAAATGCGGGAGGAAGTATTACGTTGTCTGTTGGTAGAACGCATCGCTTCCATGCCTCCTCATTTGAAGCTTTATTCGACTCACCGGTGGGTTCTGCTTTAATACCGGGATTTTCCTTCAAATTTTCAATAGTTTTTAACAATTTTAATATTTCTTTTCGCAATATTTCCTGTTCCGCTTCGTTGTGTTTCCCTAAGCTACATATAAATTGCATTATTTCGTCTGCGGTACTGTTTGTTTCCATTTCCCTCTCCTCGGATATAGTTTCGTCTACTCCCCTTTTTATTGGGGTTGATTGCGGATTACTTCTCAATATGTCCTCCATGGAATAGGATTTACTTGTTCCCTCAGACGATTTTATTGACGCTTCCTTAAAGTTTGACAGTGAAGAAGTGTCGGTAGGGACATTCGCCTCAAGTGATGAGTTTGGAGTCGTAGACTGGGAGCTGCCCCTCTGATCATCACCTTCGTCTGAATTGCATTTTCCCGGTGATGCGGAGTTTGAATTAGGTCCTGTCGATAAATCGGATGATTCAGCGAATTTCATGAGCTACAACTGGTTAAAAATTACACTGGAGTAAGTCAAATGTGAGGAGGAGGAGGAGTAGAGTTGGACGGCTTGAATTTTTAAGAAAGGAATTATCAACTTAGCCGGAAGTGTCTCTCATTATTGCCAAATGTCTTCGGCTAAGGAAACGAGACTTCGGCAATTAAGTTCTACATGAGTTCCTCAGGCAGGAAGTAATTTTTAAATGCACTATAGAGACAGTAGAGAGAGAGAGACGGAGCTGTTCCCTCTCTCGTTGATAAGCGTATGTGTGTTGAATTTTGCTCCTAATTCTATCCCACCATTTATATTAGTGATTTTGAATTAAGATACTTCGAGCTTATTCTCTTTTTATAATTCCCTTGAGGTGCCAGTGAATCGGTACATTCAGTTCTGAAAGATGAAAAGGCAGGTAGGAGAAAATGGGTTTCAGGAGCTATATCTCCGACTTTATCCCTTAAAGGGTGTTATTTAAAGACTATTCTCAAGGGAGAAATGGGGAGGAGGCTTGAAGACATGATTGTTTGGACTTGTAACAAGGTAATTTTACAAGTACTGATGGCCTAACCGCCTCCGTCGCTAATTAACTCCCATGGGGAGTTAACGACTGAGGAGGAAGAGTAGAGAAATGTTGGTAAAGGAGATTGATTTATACTAAAAAAGCTTATTATATTCCCGAGCTTAGATCTTACCTGCCTCTAAGAATACAAAAGATGTCCACAAATAAAGTTACCTTTCTCAAAAGAGGGCCAACAGAATACATTGGCACATCATATAACAACAGAAAGTAAATAAGACTGACCAATGGATCAGCTAAATTAACAGCCAAGATTAAGTCTGAATGCCAAAGACTATTGGGAGCTATTACCAAATTGTAGTTTTCCTCACTTTTGCAGATCTGGTGTGAGAGTTTATAGTCCTTTGTAATTTTATAATCCATTCTCCCATCTTTAAAGAAAAAGGGCTGCTCTCTCTCCCTAGTATTAATTACCACCTCTCAAGGTTAAGAGGAGTATTAAACTGCTCAAACTGAGCTTTCAAAAGATCAATGATCATAAAAATGATTGGAGAATGTACGGTTGATGGCTAGTTACTGGTTAAATAGGCCAAAAGAGTAGATCGGAGAATAGGAATCCGTATTTCAACTTAAAATTACTTCAGGTGGGGAATTTAACCCTTAACAAAGCCAAAGTTATTTTTTATAATTTAGAAGGAATTAGAAGTTTAGAATGAGACAGCGTCGCTTTCCATCAGGAGCTGTCAATCTGATGGGAAATTCTGGTGGGAAAAACTGATATCTCCAAATTGTCATCTTACCGACGCTCTTAGAAAAGAAAGTTGAAACTTTCAATGAAATCTGGGTAACTATATTGTGCGATAAACGAGGCGAGATTGCGCGCGGTTGTGTGGGAGGGGTAAGTGATATGAGCCGTAGGGGAGAGATTGTAACCGATGCCACCCAACCGCAAAAGAGAGGGGTAGGGGGAGAAATATAATCTTGAGAATAGGCTAATTCGTGAGAACATCATTCGGGAGCGACTTCAGAATTACTCGAATTGCTCCAGTAATCACCAAAAGGAATGAGGTCCTCCAAACCACCATCAGCCCCCCCCCCCTCCCTCTAAAACTATCTTGATTTACGTCTTTGAGATTTCTCGCTTACATCGTGTCATTATTTAGTAGAAAAAAAATGATAGAAAAGGTGTAATTCCATTAGAACAGTCAAAGAAAGGAATAAACACCACTGTCAAGGTAAATACGTTAAATATCTAATAGTAACATTAGTATGTACTGTTCAAATATTCATACACTTGGTGAGAGCGTATTTTCTATCTACGGAAATAGCTGTCGGCAAAATGTAGAGATGCTTGGTGTGACCGGAATCTCTTTAGAGTGACCATTCCTCCCCACCCCCTTCTCTCTCCCTCTTAGGACCAAGCATTAAGGAGGATGAAAGGGGGAGTGCGCTTCTAAGGTCCCTATGATTGGAGATTGGGCAGCAGCAAAAGGAAGCGTTACTACCTACCACCTAATAGGTGGCACCATTACAAACGCTCTCCTCCCTCCCCCTTCCCTTCTCACCCTTGCATCCGGTGATGACATGGGGTATCAGCTTGCCTAGGAGTAAAAGGGAACAGATTGGGTGGGTAGAAGGGTGTAAACTGCCTTTTATCGTTATCCTGAGGAGAGGTGTGTCGTTCGCGGAAGTTAGAAGTAAAGCTCCTATGCGCCCCTTTCTCTTAGCCCTGGGTGACAGGCAACTTCCGTTCCTCTGAGCTCTCTCACACACCCTTACAACCTGGGCCCTTATAATCGTGCAAAGAGGGAGGTGTGATGGGTTGAAACATTTACTCCAGTAGAAAAAAATAAGCACTCTAACTACTTAGATTATACATTTGTTGAGGTCACAACATGTAATTTACACACCATAAATGGTGATAAAATTAAACACAGAAAAGGTTTGTTACTGTGCAGTTAATATAAAGAGACTGAAAGCGACAAAATACTGGTGCCATGGAATTTCGCTCCATAAAACAGTACAAAAAGAGGAAATGACTCAACTTCCCGAATCCTCTATTTGACCCCGGCAGTTTAATAACGTTATGATAAATAAAGTGATCTAATCACCACGTATGTGGTTTTAAGCTTGGTGCTATTGGATAAATATCTAGCCAATGAAATGGTCTTTCACTTCATGGCTCCGATGGCCATCCTCCACCCCCCCCCCCCTCACCCCATGATTCGAATATCCCAGAAAAGTACATTCCATTCTCATTGTCAAACAAATACTCCAAATTATGAAATCAGCGACATACATAGACTTGGAAATTAAGCATGATTTGGTAGAATTTAATATCTTCTAATCTCAGCTTTCACTTCTCCAATCAGTATTAAGTTATCTTCTACTAAAGCTATCCATTATTTAGTCTTGGAATTTTCAAAGAGTGTGTACTAAGAACATTATAAATTGCTAAAATGAATTAATTCACTAGATCATGTTACAAGAAGTCATTTAAGGTGTGATTAAAAGAATAAGCAAAGAGGAGTAATCATGAATTCTATGGAGTAAAATAGAATATCTGAAAGATTAACTTAGACATATAAAAATTTTCGTGAAGAACTACACCTCTATTTTGAGAAGATACTGTCAGATTATAATGCCAACTTAAAATAATCAAAATGCTATGAATATTCATTACATGGTAAAAAATGTAGGTAGGAAAACTTCTATTGGAATAATTGGGAGACATAAAACAAAGTAATAAAATTTTAATAGTACTTACGACGAGATCAAGCAGTACGAGGGACTGCTGAACATGAAACAAGATGGTACTCCGATGTTATTCCGCATTAATATATACTTATGTCAGCAGCCAATCAAAACGCTCGGTTTTCCGAACACAGTAAGTAATGAGAAACCTAGTGGGGTAGACAGGCATGCAATTCTTATTCAGAGGAGGGGGGGGGGGAGGGGCGCGCACTCAACGTCTACTCTACGACCATGTGCCCACATCTTTCGCATATTTTCTCATTTCAATGTGAAAGAAATATTAAAAAATTACTACTCCCAAAGATATTCACCAATAGGTAATCGATATAACAGACCAATGGTAATCGTTATCCTGTTTCGGGTCAATGGTTTAGCTGTTCTTAGTATGAACGAAAGTCATTTCTTACCTAAAGCAAAGACAAAGATTGATTTCTGTTCGACCATCTTAATTTAAAAGAATTACCCCCATCTCCGTTTTTCTTTGAAATCGAGTGTTTGAGCATAAGATTAACTTTTCAGTTTAACAAATCGTGAGATAAGATATATTGCTTGCTAGACGCTCTGTCATTGCACATTGACCGTTCAGTGACTGCTAAAATAGCTTTTCATAGGAAAAATATCAGATTTTTATGGGGCATTTCCACGATCTAGGGACATTTCTATACCTAATCGCCCTTCATGTTCAACTTGACCACGATTTTGACAAGAAATAATGAAGGAGAGCCAAAATGTTTGTCAAAAAAGACGAATTTAAGGCAAAAATTTTTCCAAAATAGCTTTGTACGACAATATTAGCACCAATATGTCGATCTTTTACTTCAGTATTTTCAATCATCCCATTTTTGAAGACATCTTTTGTTATGCCGAAAGTTGAATTGAAAACATTCTTAAATTCACGCAACAAATAGCAGGACAAATTGTAGAGGGAAGTGACCCTGATCAGGTCAATAGTAAATTACTATCAAAAGTTGTAACATTTTGTGGCCGAACGATAGTTGAAATTTACTAACTTTAACAAGGTCAGTTCGGGTGAATGTTTTCTCACGCAATCAAGGGTTAAAACAACCGAGTGTTATAATAAAGAGGACCAAATGAATGTAGACCTTAGGGGGAATTTCTCCCCGCCTGCCTTGAAGGTCATAGCTCTACGAACGTTTCAAATTGGCCTGGGAAGATATACCCAAAACAATACAGAAATATTTCCTTTGGGACTGCCAACTATGCGCCTAAAAGTTCTAATATTATTTGGAAATACTTAATTTAAGCACTTGACCTCATTGTTTTCTTCTTTCTCCTCTGCTACTCTTCTTCTAATTGAATACAAACCAAAGTTAATTACCAAGTTTGTGTCTCATTATATCACTTCTTGAGGTCAGACGAATCGATTCTTTACTAAATTTGCACATTTTTAATGCAAACCTACGTCCTCTCATTTATCGCATTAAAGTCTTTCATACCTCTTATTATGCATTGTATCGTAACAAGTACATTTTTGTTGAGGTAAAAATGAAAAAATTTATATTCTTGTTCAACTGGGTACTCATTTCGATTGAACTAACAGGAAATACTTAAGGTTAACCGTAAGAGACCGTAAGAGGGTCACAGAGAAATCAGGTTTTTGATCATTGGGTTAAACCTAGGCTAATCAAGCATACCAACGAAACCCTATCTGGTCCTTGAAATTTACTTATTTCGCTAGTATTTCAACCTCTGTTCATACTTTCTGCAA